TGGCTTCCTCCGTAAGGGGCTTTAAGTCCTCTAGGGTTTAGGGTTTTAGGTTTAGGGCTTAGGGTTTAGGGTGAGCACACCCGGTTGACTTGTCAGTGGGAGTTTTTCGCCTGCGGCTTCGCGACGGAAGCCAATACTCGGAGGTTCATGGGCAGTTATGAATCGGGTTAACAGTGCCCTGAACAGGGTTACCAGTATAGCTACCATAATTAGAACAATACTTATAACTACCTATGACCCTCCAAGTATCTCTCCCGCTCTCTGCGGCTTTCGTGTTCTGCTGGAAGACAAAGAGGGACTACAATTTGCATGAGTATCCCCCCAAAAACACAAGACTATAAGCCGCATAATGCCCTTATCAGGAAGAATGTTTTTTTAGTTTTTTTTGGGGGGAGAGGGGCCTCTCATCCTGCGCTGAGCTTCGTAGCATCCGTTGCTCTGCCTTCCCGATCTGCCCACCCGTGGAAAGCGCACACTGAGGACACGAGGTAGTGACCCCCACTTATAAGCCGACATACCCAAACCCTAAATTCAAACCCTGAACCCCAAACCTTGAACCCTAAACCCTAAACCCTAAACCCGAAACCTTGAACCCTAAACCCTAAACGTAAACCTAAACCCTGAAAGTGACTAAATCATCCGCCGCGCTGCAAGGTTCGCACGTGGCCACTGCGATGGCCCGAGCTGCTGCTGGACTCCAACCTGCACCACTGACTATTTAAAATGATCAGTAAAAGGGTTTAGGGTTTAGGGTTGAGGGTTTTTTTTTTGCCACCCGCTTTAGGTTGAGGGTTTAGGGTTCAGGGTTTGGGGTACGCTTAAGAATTATCCCTTTTGTTCCTTACTGGGTTTAAGAATTCATAAAAAGGTAAAAGGATTCTCGACAATGGCCCAGCAGCATGGGCGTCTCGTTGTAGTCCGGCTGGGCCGCCAGGAAGATCTCCAAACAGTCCTTAGGAACCTACACCCTAGTAATTACCCCCCCCCCCCCTCCTCCCCCGACTCCCAACATAAAATACCCCTAATATAACTATAACGGGGGGTCCTCAAAATTAAGTATTAGGTGATAGGGGGGGGGTTAATATTCGGGGGAAAGGATTAGGAACCCACACCCCAGAGTAGCCCAGGAGTAAACATGGGTGCCCTTTTTGGCTTAAGAAAAGGGGCTTGTTTAGGGTTTAGGGTTTAGGGTTTGGGGTTTAGGGTTTAAGGGCCTTGAGTACGTATCTGGGCCCTTGGGAACCGGCAGAGGTGCCGTCACAGATCGATCTCTGGATGTGGTGCGTGCATGCATGATGCAGCTTTGAGGGGATACTGGGCCTCTCCACAAGGAGTTCAGACCGGAATTCAGATTTCGATCACTGCAGACTAGCCAACACACTAAACCCTAAACCCTAAACCCTAAACCGTAAACCCTAAACCCTAAACCCTAAACCCTTAACCCTAAACCCTACACCAAGCCGAAGGCCCGAAACCGCGAATACACCTACCAGCTCTTCCCTGCTCTGGGCTCTTCCTGGGAAAGGTTGCCATCGGCAGCGCTTTCATTGCCGGCGGCACTTTCATCGAAGTCATTCCTCAGCATCGCAACTCGTGAAACCCTGTGGTGGGTTGTACTGAAGAAAGCATACAAGCTATGAGGTGATGGGGTTTAGGGTTCAGGGTTTTGGGTTTAGGGTTTAGGGTTTATGTTACAGCCTGATCTGTCAACAAGCTCGCTGCAAGTAGTGGTTCGGGGCTGTGAACAAACCCGCAGGTACTGGCTACCAGGCCCTGAGGTTGCATGACAACTAAGTTGGCCGTTTAGACCCTCTTCAACATTCCAAGACAATGCCATCTCAAACCCAAATTAGCAAATGTCATAGTGTCATAGTGTATGCAAAAGAAGATGGAAGATGCCACGAGCAGACCTCGGGTGAACTTGAGTGTGCGATCGGCACACTAGAGATGTGGACACACCATGAAATTCAGCGATCTGTTTTGGGTGCCCCCGAGCCCCCCCATCCCCCCCAACCCCCCTTAAGCAGGAACAAAGCGTGAAAATAGCCTCAACAAGCGTGAGGAGCGAGTGGTAGTTCGCCAAACGATCCAAGGAGTATGCTATAATGGACACCCCAAAGAGGCCCGTAGCTTAGTAAGATACCCTAAACGTGGGGTGTTCGATGTGTGTGTGTGTGTGTGATGGTGGCATGGTGGCAGCATGATTGGCCTGACAGTAGAGCAAAAGGACGAGGATCCATGGAGGACATACAGGAAAAAGGAAATCGATGAGTATTGGTGGTAGGGAAGAAGAGACACATTGAGTGTGACACGCAAAGAGACAGAAGAGATACCGAAAGGAGCTGACTCGAAAGAGAGCATGCAAAAGCCTAAACCCTAAACCCTAAATCCTAAACCCTAAGCCCTAAACCCTAAAAGCGGCATCTTGAGACAAAAGCGTCAGTGGCTTGTCTTGCTTCGTGGCCCTGAGCTGTGCGAGCTCCAACGCCTCGTCAGTGTCCTTAGCTCGGCGAAAAGTGGAAGTGAATGATGTTGCAATACCCTTAACCCTAGACCCTAAACCCTAAACCCCAAACCTTAAACCTTAAACCCTAAACCCTAAACCCTAAACCCTAGGGTAGGCTGTAAACATGCCTGTCTTTTGCCACGCTCATGACGCAGCCTACTCTCCGCAAAGTCTGGGTGCCATTGTGTGCTTACAGGTTCGCTACCTTGCTAGCTCTTGGCAGTCTGCTTTCTTCCCGCAGCTACTGCCTAAGCGCGAAGCTCTGGAGATTAGTTGCAAACAGCATGCCGCATGCCTCATACGTGCCCTGTGGCCCCGCAGCCCCGCAATGTACAACATGTCCTGGAGGTGACCAAACTGGGTACTTCCCAAGATAGGGTCCCCCACAATATACCCCCAAAGTACCATAATCCTCCTTAGTTGTAGCAACCCCCCTCCAAGATGGCAGCCCTAGTGTCGGAAGCCCCTAAATACTAGACTGAACTTGGAACCCCTGTCAAAAACTATATTTTTGCATGTTTTTTCAGTTTCTGAGGAATTATAGTGCCCAAAAACATCTAAATCTATTCCCAAGTATCCCTAAGAACATACTGCGTCAAGCTGCGCAGTCCGTGGCCTCGAGGATCTCCTCTGCCTATGAAGCCAGGATGGTAGGCTACGGCACGGGATAGGAGGAGTTGCAAGAGCATCATAGAGGATGCTGAATCATATCCAGGCATTTGGTTTATCAGAAACAGAATCATGTTCAGACATATGGTTTTTTCAAGAGAAGAGTTGGGAATTTCACATCAATCATTGGCATGGCTAGCCATACATAGTGGTATGAAGAATGGACAAACATGTTTCTATTTTTGCTGCTGGGTTCCACGTCCACCACACTTGGGGGTTTTGGGCTTAGGGATTAGGGTTTATGGAGTTAGGGTTTGGGGTTTGGGGTTTAGGGCTTAAGGTTTATGTAGCGTTTAGGGCCTTTAGGGGGCTCTCCGTGGACCTTTGTATGTCTCCCTTTGTTACCTCTTCTCTTCGCGCGAATGGGCTGTTTGCAGTTCCTCAATCAAACAAGCTGCCGCGGCTGTGATCACGGCCAAAACCAGAAACCGGCTGAGCATGGCGCCGAACGCTTTGGGCAGCTAAAGAGGTTGACCGGGTATGGGCCAAGCTGGCAGATGGCGGCGGCGAACTGCAGGCAGTGGGAGTCTGTGTTGAAAAGTGACTCCTTTTATCTTGGTAGCCCAATATCAGTAACCATGTTGCAACAAGGGTACCCTTTTTTGGGGGGTTACTTTATAGGGGAACCTTGAACCAACACAAAAACAAGAAGGCACCACTGGGCTACCAAGTTCTGGTCATTCCGCTTGGGCGCCACTTGCAAGCTACACCGGTGTACGACACAGGATCGGCCCTCGACTTCTATCCTACAAAGCCACAGGTTCATGTAGAGATCACGTTCAGAAGATGCAGCTCAATTGAAAGAAGTGTCAAAGCACGCCCAGGAATTTCGCCTCTGTCCTGGCGCATGGGCGTTCAGAGATTCTGAGGCACCTCACAAGTCCCATCCCTAAACCCGAAACTCTACACCCCAAACCGCTCTCCTTTCTTGCCGAACCACGATCCTGGGTTGTTGATTAACGGCGAGGTCTCGCACTTGGGGAGGGAGGGCGGCCTCTACCTCAAGAAAACCCACCATCTTCAAGGAAGTTCGCCCCGCCAGGCCCTGCCACATCCTGCCACCTTCCCCTTTCGCCACGTTCCATCATCTCTGAAGCCGTTGCCTCTTCCATAGGCTGGGGCGCCCTTCAAGAACCCCCTAAACCCTAAACCCTAAACCCTAAACCCTAAACCCTAAACCCTAAACCCTATAGCCTGGACTCTAAACCCTAAACCCCAAGCCCGAAACCCCACACCCTAAACCTGAAGCCCTAAGCTAGAACTCTTGACACAACCCAGGCCCCTAAGCAGGTCGACCGCGTCACCCCTGTAAATGATCCTTCTTCGACGTCTTTCTCTTAGCTGTTGTTTGGCAGATGTCCCTCAAACGCCTCACTCAGAAGTGACAAAGTCCCAACGTTTGGTTTGCAGACTTCTGTACGGTTTGGGCACAGGCGGACGGCGCGCAGCGTTTAGAAGACATGCTAGCAAGCAGTTTTCCCTCGCAATTTCCTGAGCAACTGAGGACATCTGTACAGATCCATGACGTTGCCCCTTAGGTCCTATGCCGGAAAGGAATTTCCTTCCTCACAGCGTGCATCAGATGCACTTCCGGTCAACAGCAGACGGGCCATGCTCCAGATACCTCGAATCGCATGAGTCAGCCCAGTCGAACGTGCAATCTCAGAACCTGAAGACTGCAGACTAAACCCTATAATCCGTATATAAAACCTATAAACCCTATAGATCCTATGGACCCTATAAACCCTATAAACCCTACGAGTACTGCCTGAAGACGCTGCATGTGAGTTTGTTTCAACAAACCCTCTAAACTTTGCGAGTATATATCCTCGTCTAAACCCTCAAAATCCCAAAAGGAGCCCTTAGGAGGGCGTGCTCGAAACGTGCGGAAAATTGAGCACCCCGCCAAGTTTGCTTGGAACTTTGAAGCAGAAAATTGTGCGCCACGCCTTGAAAAAGCACGTGAAAACCAACTGCAGCCCTCTAAGGTTTTAGATGCATGGGTTCTGAATACATGTAGGTCTTCACACATGGAGCAGGGAGCGCTGCTTCTGGCTACTACCCAGAAAGAACCCTAGACCCTGACTCGCCCAAACCCTAAACCCTAAAGCGCCTGAACTAGCAGCAAAAAACCGGCCCCGATTTCCAGCGCTTTCGGGCCAGGGATGCAGGCACAGCAGATGAAAACTGCGTCGCTGTACGAAAAGACTGTGAAAAAAAGAACTGGATCACTGAACATAGTTTCAAGACATATGTACTCCTAAACCCTAAACCCTAAACCCTAAACCCTAAACCCTAAACCCTAAACCCTAAACCCTAAACCCTAAACCCTAAACCCTAAACCCTAAACCCTAAACCCTAAACCCTAAACCCTAAACCCTAAACCCTAAACCCTGACTTGCAGACCCCAAGTCTAGGCCTGGCTGGTCTCTCCAAGCCACTCATCTCGGGAGGTCAAGAAACGCTGCAAATGTTGGTGCAGGCACACCTGAGCACTTTTTTTGTTTTTTTGTTTTGTTTTTTTTGGGTTTTTGTTGGTGTTTTTTTGGGTTTTTTGGTGTACATCTTTTTTCTGACTGTTGGTTCGTAGGGAATGAGGGATTGATACCCTTTACGGGATGGTATGGAGTACCTCATTCCATAGCAACCATTCAACAGTGAGTTTTCCGATCTGGGTAGGTAGCGGCTGGTCACAAAACATGGAGGGGCTGGTTGGTGGGTGAATGCGGTCTTGCTTGCTGGATCCCATTCCTCAGTCTGATTTCGCCACGTTGAACGCTTTGTACAAAGACAAAACCAATCATCTGAGCTGCTCAAGCTACCCTTTTTACATCCAGGCCTCTGAAGTCTGCCGGGTACCTTTCAAATTTCACAACCCTTTTGAACCGTAAACCCTGACCCCTAAACCCTAAACCTTAAACCTTTTCTTTGAGTCCCACTGCCTAAAGTTGCTGTAGATCTTGCGCCTTCCATGCAAGGCAAGAGTCATAAAGGCCGGTGGCCTCTTTATCTGTTGCCCCTCTAGCCCCTAGATAGCCCAAAAACAAGCCCTAAACCCTAAACACTAAACCCTAAACCCCAAGCCCTAAACCCCTTACTTGAAGAGACCACCAAGCCAGATAAGGCAAGAGGCTTTGGCTGCTCCACGCCATGCGGCATCTGCTCCGTCCGCCCTGACAGAAAGCCTCCCTCCTTCAGTCCGGGCAAAGATTCTTCTGGTCTAACTAGGGTTTAGGGTTTAATCAAGGTTTAGGGTTTAGGGTTTAGAGTTTAGGGCTATAGGGTTTAGGGATCTAGGGTTTTGATTCGGGTCCCTTTTTTGGGATCCCCTATATCATACGGCACCCTTACGGTAACAAGTAGAGACCCGGGAAACTGTGTCCCCTTTTCCGAGCGGGGGTGAAGACGCAATTCGAAGACGCGGCCCCGAAGACGATATTCCGCGCGAAGACGCAATTCGGTTTCATTCGGCCCCGAAATCGAAATTCAAGGCCATTTTGCAGTCGCAAGAGAACCAAATTCGGGCTTCAGGGGCCGAATTTCAGCTTCAGGGTCGATTTGCGTCTTCGGCGCCAAAATCTCGCCTTCCGGGCCGAACGAATTTCGGCTCCAGGGCAGAATTTCAGGGGCCGAATTTCGTCTTCGGGGTCAAATTTTCGTCTTCGGGGCCGAATTTCGTCTTCGCAGCCGAAATTAGGCTTCAGAAACCGAATTTAAGCTTTTTGGCGTCAGTGACCGAATGTCGTCTGCAGGGCCGATTTTAGGCTTCAGGAGCCGAATTTCGTGTTCAGTGCCGAATTAATTTCGTCTTCTCCGCCGAATTTAGGCTTCGGCGTTCCGTGCAAACCGAATTGCATCTTCGCGCCGAATATCGTCTTCGGGGCCGAATGGCGTCTTCAAATTTCGTCTTCGCCCCCGCCCGGAAAAGGGGAACCCGCTTGCTGGGCCAATGCATGGACCCAAGAAAGGGGCCCTGATTTAGAGAACGACCCAAACGGGAATGCGTAGAGCTCAGGCTTCCCACTCGATCCACCGCAGAGCGGTTTAGGGTTTAGGGTTGAGTCTTGAGGGTTTAGGGGTTAGGGTTTAGGGTCCCTGCACTGCGCACAGAGACACCACTGTATCCGCTCCGCGGGGACTCTTTGAGGTCATGGGATTGCTCTAGGATGGGGTCTCCAGGATCAACTGGGGCACAGGCATGCTCCGAAAACCAAACTAAACCTTACTCGATCAGGGTTTTGGGGGCCTAGTATAATTACAAAGGGACCATAAGGGAACGTTCTCAGTGTTTATTCCGGCCCCAGAGCCCCAGCCCCGTGATGTGC